ACAGAAGTCGCAGCTGTACTTGTCCAGCGTCTCCAGCGTGGTGACGTAGGGGGCCGCCGGCACCACCTCGTCCACCCACTTGATGGCCTGCACCATCTTGTACCTCTCCTCCTGCGTGAACACTGGGGGCCCCTTGTGCTTGGAGATCTCCTCTGGGCCAGAGAGGAGAGGAGGCAGGGTGGTGACCACGGAGGTCATGTCCACACTGAAGCGCCCTCCACACCCAAGTGGCCATCACCGTCCTCCTTGGGCCACCACCACGAAGGTGGCCCCTCCTCCTCCAGAATCCCAGGGGATGGTGGGGCCCCCCTGGCGACTGGGCAACCCCAGGCGGGCATGGGGTGGTGGGCGCAGCCCCACTTACCGTCGGTGTGCACGCCCACGATGAGGTAGTCCCCCATGGCCCGGGCCTGGCGCAGCTGGTTCGAGTGGCCATAGTGTACCATGTCGTAGCTGTGGAGAGGGCCGGGCGGTCAGTCCCGGGTGGCCCGGGGGCGGTGAGGGGCACAGGCTGGCTCCTCTGAGAAGCCGCCACTGGGAACTGCTCCCAGGGTCCGGCGAGTCTGGGCTTTTGGAGGGGAGGGTGCTCAGCTCTGCATGGCCCGGTCCCGGAGTCCAGGGCCAGACTCAGCAGGGCCATGGCCTGCGGGTCCTGAGGACTGAGAGCACACCGCACAGCCCCTGCCCCACCCTGGGCCTGCGGCCCCCGGGGCCCCTCCTTAACTCACAGCACCATGGGTGGTCCCTTTACGCTGCAGCACGAGAGGGGAGCTGAACTCTACCACCTGAGACAGGGGGCCAGTCTCTGGGGCCAACAGGAAGCAAAGTCTAACCCAGTGGTCGGCAAACTCATCAGTCAACAGAGCCAAACATCAACAGTACAACGATTGAAATTTCTTTTGAGAGCCAAATTTTTTAAACTTAAACTATATAGGTAGGTACATTGTTATTAACTTAATTAGGGTACTCCTAAGGCTTAGGAAGAGCCACACTCAAGGGGCCAAAGAGCCGCATGTGGCTCGAGAGCCGCAGTATGCCGACCACGGGTCTAACCAATGAACAAGGCCAACTGCTGGCTCTGGGAACCCTGCGAGCTCCCAGGACCTCGGGGAGGCCAACCACCACCTCCCTGTCACCTGGTCCCAGAGCTTTTAGCCTCAGATCCGGGCCCGGTTCCGAGTGAACTCAGCTGACGGCCACAGACAGCAGCCGCTGTCCGGCTGGGTCCCACCTGCCCCGTGTGTGCTGGGGAGACCACACTGCCGAGCGGCGCCCTCAAGCTCCTCCTACTCCTTCCAGCCTCCGTGGCCTCCGAGTAGGAGAAGCTGTCCCTGCTTCCACTCAGTGCCACCTGTCAGCTCCGCCTCCCACACCGGCCCGGGGTCACAGGGCTCTGGCCCTGGGGTAAGGGAAGAGGGAAGTCCAAGTCCAGGGCCCTGGGGCCCGCGACCCCTGTGCCCACTGGACAGGCTGGGCCGGGGGTGCACCGAGTGCAGGTGGCCCTGGGTCCAGGCTGGGTCCTGTCACTGCAGCCCTGTGGCTGTGACCTGCTGGGGCCAGCACCTGGCCTGGCCAGGCCCAAGGTCAGAGTCCACAGACACGCAGCCACACTCCCTCTCCCCACGGTGGTGCAGGTGCAGGGGCAGAGGCCCCGCCCCCGAGGGTGTGTTTCCCCCTCTGCTTCCATCAGCAAAGGCGGCGAGTTACCAACTGACAGCCCCAAACATCACCCAACTCTGCTGTCTGGCTCGCCGGCGGGCGGGTGGGCACCCCCGGGTGGCACGGGGGTCCCGGGGCC